GAACTTTTGGGGTTCTTGTTCTGTTGTTCATAACCGCCATAAACTATTTCAGTCCACTAAATTTCACATAAAAATATATCATTTAATCTCCAAAATAGCACCATCGATTCTAACGTCTCATGTGGCAAGCATGTGCAAAGAAAAAGATGAAAGTAATCCCTTAGTCCCAAAAAGCTACCTATTTTTCTTAAAAGAGTATATTTTGGGACTAAGAAAGATTTTTCGTCCTTTTTTCTTTGGCATGTGCTTACCCAGTGACCCGTTAGAGTTGATAGTGCTAATATGAGGACAAAATGAAAAATTTTCAGGTAACATTTAGTGGAATAAAAAGTTAAAGAGGGTTATGTGCAATAACCCCTAAAGTTTAGGGGGTTTAGTGGAAGAAAAAATAGTTGAGGGAGTTTAATTCAACTCTTCCAAAGTTCAAGGGGTTTTCTATAATTAACCCTTTTAGAAATTTGTTGGTGTAGAACATGCATGGGCAAGGGTGTCGTCTCTAGATGTATCAAAGGCACCAATTTTGTTGGAAGTCAAGTGTTGCACATCATATGCTAGTTACTAGTAGGAAAAAAACGTATTATCGTTGTGAGTAGGATAAATGCGCACAATGATTCTTGCTTCAAACCTCATTATTACTTGGTTAGTTAGAACATGAATGGTGTTTGTACTGTGAGTTGTCTCGTCACATATTGATGGATGGGGGTAAGCATAAATGAGGTGGATAGCTCTTGTTTTTTCTTCTGGTAAAGCAGTATATGGTTAGATGTTAGTGCCATGACTAGAGGTGGATGGCTCTTATCTTCTACAGTAGGATTGGTAAAAACTATTTGAAATCAAGAGAACCCGATTTGTGGAAAGATCTCTCTGAAAAACACACATAGCTTTAGAGATGATGACTTTTTTACAAGTTGAATACTTTTTTATTAAAGTTTGTTCTGCTCTCCTTATTATGAGCATACTAACAACGTGGTCTTAGGTAGCTTGAGTTTCCAACAGGAGTTTATGTTGTGTTTTCTGGGTGTATGGGAGTGGTAAATCATTTATTAAATATGTATCGTTATACACTCTCCTCATAACTTCAAAAGCCAAACCTTCTTGGGATCGAAGGCGTGAACCCCCGAGAGATGATGCTTAGACTTGATCACATCATTTTGTTGTGCATGTTAAAGTATTATTGTTTAGTGCCATGGATGAAATAAAAATTGCACAAGATTTGATAGAAACTTAGTACTATGTTTGTCTTCGTTTGTTTAAATTGTTAGCAAGGAGCCGGCAGACTTAAAATACTTGTTAGATTCGAGGGTATGTGCATAGGACTGCACTTTGAGAAGTCATCAACAATGATGAAATCCTTAAACTTTTATGTTCCAGGACGATGTGGTCGTGCTTTAATATATCCTCTCTGTATATTACAATAAACAAGATGGAAAGTGGAAACCATAAGCAACTTTATTCAAGCTTGACCAGGAAACGAAACATGGTTCTTTTGTTAGAGGACAAGCATCGCAAACTTGAATAATAATAATAATAATAAAACTTGTGAATTTACAGCTTTACTCAACAGGTCCAAAGTTGGACTGTTTTCTTTTTTTATTAATTATTGGTGGTTGACTGTAATGATGTAACTCATTCCATATCTCACGGGCTCCAATTGACTTCCTTACCTCTAGATCTCGTAAAACCACAAGCATAGGAAACAGAATTTCAACAACAATCTAATCATTTTGTGAACTTGTTGACAGATAGCAAGTTGAACTGAGACGGAACATGAAAAACATATTGTGAGAAACAATGAGTTACCAATGTGAGAATAGGTGCGTTTGAACCATTAGGCATTAATACGGTTTGGTTCTAGTGTTTGGGAACACCATTACAAATCAAAGGCAAATCCAAGTGAATGAGTAATCCAGAATCCCTAAACCAGGTGTGATGACCAGGTACCGAGAGTGAGCACTAATTTGTCGGTAAAAGCTTTGGATGACAACTACTTCACATGTCTTCATTCAAAGATAAAAGCGATAACTAGTTGCCCCTGTTGTATATAGTGAATAGTCAGATTGATTTTCATGGAACCTTGTCACTACCTCTCCTTAAAATAACCTTTAGACTATTAAAAATTTAAACATTATCTCTTCTCTGTGAAGCTGTCTTGTGTAAAGTATGACTAAAGAGGTACATTGACAAGTAACAGAAAGCAAACATAAGGCAATCCTCCGCTCATTTGTTGTATAGCTTTAATGGCTACAATTGCCCTTAAATACCTTATAATTTCACTTTTTTTTGCACTTACATACGCTCACTTGTTTATTGCAGCATTCGTATACCCTAAATTGTGTAAAATTAGCACATTAGTACCCTCTCTGTCATGCAAACATGAAAATTCTCACCCGATTATTCTCATACGACGGTAGGAATCAATTAGCATGTGAACCTCATATGAGAACATTCAGGTGAAAATTTTCACGTTTGCATAATGGAGAGTGCTATATGCCAATTTTAGACAACGTAGAGTACATAAATGTTGCAAAAACAAGTGAGGAGGGCATATAAGTGTAAAGTGTGTGAAACAATAAGGTATTAAGTGGTACTAGCCAACGTTGATACCCTAGTACTTAAGACTATTTGGTTTTTGCTTTCAGGTTTTCAACACTTACGGTATTATGGGAAATGCCGCATTACTTCACAGATATGGTTTCACTGAACCTGACAACACATTTGACATCGTGAACATCGATCTCAACCTTGTCCTGAAACATTGCTCTTCCTCATTCTCCAGTCGCTATATTAGATCAAGGGTTTCATTATGGAGAAGGCTAAATTATTCAGGCTGCACAAGTGAGAACTCTGAGTACTTTGAGATTTCCTTTAATGGGGAGCCGCAGATAGAGCTTATAGTTCTTGTATACATCGTTTTTCTCCCAGAGTATGCATATGAGAAATTGAATTGTATGGTAGATTTTTTTGTCGAGGCCATTGATTCTACAAACTTGATCAAATTGATCAATATCACTAGAAATAATTGCAGTATTGGAGCAGAGAAGATCAATGAGTTATTGCTGACGAGAGATGTCCGTAATGCTCTTAAATCTCTAGCTGATATGAGGGAGACTTTTTATGGACCGAACACTTTGGAAGATGATGAGAGTAGGTTGAGAATACGTTCTTCTGTGAAAGATCGAAAACTGTATCATTCGCTAGTGTTAAGAGTATGTGAAAGGAGAATACTTTCGAGGCTAAGGGTCTACGCTTCTGGAGGGTATAAAACCAAGAAAAGAAAGGTTTAGTTGCTCAAGTGTGAAGCTATCTGTAGCGCGTTTGAGTTCATTTGCATTCAGTTGAACATGCAAGTTTTAATGTAAACTAAAAAATTATGTCAAAATTTTTTTATTGATCTTCATTTACTTGGGTCTGTAACTAAAATTTTGCTTCTCTGGCTCCAGATTGGGGTCCTTCTCATTTACTGCTCTTCTAGTCCTTACCAGCTTGAATCAAATTGATCATATTGTAACACGTGTTACTAAGTGAAAATGAGGATTTGGCTCAAATCTCTCTCAAGAAGCAATTTGACTTTTCTTTTCCTTCTTTCCAACAAAGAATTTTTCTAGAGTTTAAATTATTTGTGTTGGATTGTTTATTTTATTTTATTATTTATTTATTTATTTATTTATTCTGAGAGAAAGAATAGAATGTCATAGATGGTGCGATCAGCTAAATTAAAACAAAAGAGGTCACATGCAAAAGACCATATTAGCAACTCCAAAAACCAACCAACCAACCAACCAACTCCAAAAACCAACCTTGTCCTCAAAATTCGACCCTCTTGAAAATTTATTACGAAAATCGACCTACTTTCTCGTCACGTCAGTATCGTGGCAAGAAAGTGGGTTGATTTAAAAAAACCTCCGTTCTAATTAGTTAGGGTTACAAACCCCGACTAATTATGAGCTTGCCCACAACCCTTTAATAGTTTGACAGCTAAATTAGTCGGGGTTCGAAACTCCGACTAATTTAGCACATATTTAAATTTGTTGGGGTTGGAAACATCAACCATTTCGAAATGCCTAATTCGAAATGGTCGGGGCTCTCAACTCCGACCATTTAGCAAAGAGTGGTCAAGCCCAAGTTTGAAAAGTGGGAACTTGGCTAGGTCACACAATAGTCAGGGTTGCCAACCCCGACTACTTATTCTAGGTCCCACCCCCTTATATAAACTAACTGAAACCCTTCTCTCCCAGCCGTAGCATGCAGACGAGCTCCAGGTGCAAGCGAGCTACCAGTGCAGGCGAGCTCCAGGCACAAGCTAGGTCACACAATAGTCGGGGTTGTCAACCCCGACTACTTATTCTGGGTCTCACCCCCTTATATAAACTAACTGAAACCCTTCTCTCCCAACCCCATCTCTCCCAGCTGCAGCATACAGGCGAGCTTAGCATGCAGACGAGCTCCAGGTGTAAGCGAGCTACCAGTGCAGACAAGCTCCAAGCACGGGCGAAGACCAGTTCAAGCAAAGGAGCTATCCAGGCGAGCTCGCAGGCGAACTCGCAGAAAAGGCCAAAAGACAGCTTGTCTTTGACCTAGGGTTTCCCTATAAAAGGGAACCCTGTTCACGAGAAATTGCTGAGATTTTCAGCGCATCTTCTCTAGAGAACTGTAGCGGCGGTGGCGCGGTGGCGATTTTCCAAAAGAAAAATTCGCACGACTCCTGTAGCTTTTTGAACGGAGAATTTTCAGGAGAAAATTCTCATGATTACTGTAGCAATTTCTACAGTTGTGATTTTTTTGATTGAGAGATCTCAAGGAGTTTGAGATCTGCTTTTTGCAAGCTTGTAAATTTTCTTTGATAATAAAAAAATTATTGTGTGGCTCCCGAGGACATAGAAAAGTTTGTCGAACCTCGTTAAATCTTGGTGTTCTTTCTCTATTGTTTTGTCTCTCTTTTCTTGCTGTCATTAGGGTATCATCCCCAACAACTGCTATCAGAGCCCAAAAACGATTCTGAGGAAGTCAGATTCGAGTGGACGCAATGGCAGCAGATTAAGAAAAGGTGAGACTAGAGAAGTTTGATGGCACGGATTTCGGGTTTTGGAAGATGCAGATAAAGAATTATCTGAACCAAAAGAATCTGTATCAACCTCTTCAGGAAAGAAGCCAAAGGGTATGAAGGAAGAAGATTGAAATCTTCTAGACAGACAAGCCCTCAAGGTTTATTCGATTGACGCAAACCCGTAATGTTACCTTCAACATTGCCAAAGAAAAGACCATGACAGGTCTTATGGCAGCACTCTTTAATATGTATGAGAAGCCATCTGCCTCAAATAAAATTCACTTGATGAGGTGTTTGTTCAATCTACGAATGACAGAAGGCGCGTCGGTAGCTCAACATCTCAATGAACTCAACACAGTCACGACCCAGTTGAGTTTAGTTGGAATTGAATTTGACGAAGAAGTACGAGCATTTATACTTTTGTCTTCCTTACCAGAAAGCTAGAATGCTTCTGTCACGGCTGTGAGTAGCTCGTCAGGAAGCAACAAGTTAAAATTTGACGATGTTCATGATCTAGTTCTCAGTGTAGAGATCCGACGGAGAGAGTCGGGTGAATCGTCAACCTATTCAGTATTGCATACAAAGTCAAGAGGAAGAAATTCAACCAGAGGGAATGGTCGCGATAGATCAAACTACCGAGATAGATCAAAAGACAGGAGGTCCAAATCCAGGAATCCCAGTAATTCCCATGGCTCGAAGACTATTGAGTGTTGGAATTGTGGAAAAATCGGGCATTACAAAAATCAGTGCAAGAGTGCACAGATGGAAAAGGAGGCGAAAGCAGAGGCAAATGTTACTTCCACCTCAGAAGGAGATGATGATGCATTGATATGCTCTTTAGAGAGCAAGGTGGAGTCTTAGGTGTTAGATTCTGGAGCATCATTTCATGCTACTTCTCAGAAAGAATTCTTTGAGAAGTATGTCCCCGGAAACCTTAGATATGTATATCTTAGTGATGATCAACCGTGTGCTATTGTTGGCAAATGTGTAGTGAAGATTAAGTTGAACGGATCAGTTTGGGAGCTGAAGGTAGTCAGACATATTCCCGACCTGAGAAAGAACTTAATCTCAGTAGGCCAGCTGGCTAACGAAGGCTACACTACGATCTTCCATGGTGATGATTGGAAGATTTCAAAAGTCTCTACGACGATTGATTGAGGCAAGAAAAGTGGCACCCTCTACATGACAGCAGTTGCACGTTGTTCGATCGTAGTTGTAGCAAGCAATGAAACTTTAAATTTATGGCACTAGAGACTTAGCCACATGAGTGAGAAGGGGATGAAGATCATACACTTGAAGGGAAAACTTTCAGGTCTACAGTCAGTGGAGATAGACATGTGCGAAGATTACATACTTGGAAAGCAGAAGAGAGTTACCTTTCAGACAAGTGGCAGAACCCCAAAGAAGGAAAGGCTAGAGTTTGTTCATTCTGACGTTTGGGGACTAACAACCATCTCATCCATTGGTGGGAAACACTACTTCGTGACTTTCATCGATGATCACTTTCGGAAAGTATTGGTTTACTTTCTGAAGCATAAGTCTAAAGTGTTTGAGGCTTTCAGGAGATGGAAAGCTATGGTTGAGAATGAGACGAGTCTGAGGATAAAGATGCTCAGAACCGATAATGGTGGTGAATATGAAGACACTGTATTCAAGAAGTTTTGCTATGAGCATGGGATCAGAATGGAGAGAACCGCGCCCGGCATGCCTCAACATAATGGTGTTGCTGAGCGTATGAACCGAAAGTTGACAGAAAGAGCCAGAAGCATTTGTATACAGTCAGGTCTACCGAAATAGTTCTGGGTAGAAACAATCAACACAACAGCTTACTTGATCAACTGAGGTTCATCGGTTCTATTGGAGCACAAAATAATAGAGGAGGTATGGTGCGAAAAGGAGGTAAAACTATCACATCTAAAAGTTTTCGTTGTGTAGCTTATGTGCATATCAGTGATCAAGGCAGGAATAAGCTTGATCCCAAATCCAAGAAATGCACCTTCATCGTCTATAGGGAGGATGAGTTTGGTTACCGCATTTGGTATGATGAAAACAAGAAAGTGATTCGTAGCAGAGATATGATCTTTAATGAAAAGGTGATTAATAAGGACAAGCATAAAACAGATGTCGGTGACTCAGAGCAGAATGAGTCAATATTTGCGGATATAGATGATGTCCCAAATAGTTCCACAGAGGAACCAAATCCAGCAAGTCCTTAGCCAGAAGAACTCATTGAACAAAGTGGTGCGCAGCAGTCCGACACACCACATTCTCCTACTCCTATGTTGAGAATGTCTTCTCGGCATCCTATGCCTAACAGGAGATACATGAACTATCTGTTGGTGACGGGTGGAGGGGAGCCTAAATGCTATGATGAGACATGTCATACTGGAGATGCTATCAAGTGGGAGCTTATCATGAAAGAAGGGATGAAGTCTCTGATCTCAAACCAGACATGGGAACTAGCCGAGTTACCCATGAGGAAGAAGACACTACACAACAAATGGGTGTATCAGATGAAAGAGGAGCAGGATGATTCTAAGAGATACAAAGCTCGACTAGTTGTCAAAGCATTCTAACATAAAGAAGGAGTTGACTACACCGACATTTTTGCTCCTATTGTAAAGCTCAATACTATCAGATCAGTGCTGAGTATTGTAGCTATTGAAGATCTTCATCTTGAGCAATTGGACGTGAAGACCGTATTTTTTCATGGAGATTTAGATAAGGAGATATACATGCACTAACCAGAAGGTTTTCTGGAAGAAGAGAAGAAGAAAATGGTGTGCAAACTTAAGAAGAGTTTGTATAGCTTGAAACAAGCCCCAAGACAGTGGTACAGAAAGTAAGTTCGATGGCTTCATGCACAATGAAGGTTTCTAGAAGTGCAATGCCGACCATTGTTTGCTACTTCAAGAGATATGAATCCAGTTATATCATCTTACTGTTGTATGTTGATGATATGTTAGTTGCAGGTGCAAATATGGATGATATCAGGAAGTTGAAACAACATCTATCAAAAGAGTTTGACATGAAGAACTTGAGTCCAGCTAAGAAGATCTTTGGAATGAAAATCACGAGAGATAAGAAGAAAGGATTCTTGCAGTTATCTCAGACAGAGTACATCCACCGTGTTTTGAAGAGATTCAACATGGGTGACGCCAAGCCAGTCAGAACACCCTTGGCTAGTCATTTTCGCCTATCAAAGGATCAGTCTCCTCAGATGGAGGAATAGAAAGATTTCATGGCTAAGGTTCCTTACGCCTCAGCCATTGGGAGTCTGATGTATGCTATGGTCTGTACGAGACCAGACATTGGCCATACAGTGGGAGTTGTCAGCCGGTTTATGTTAAATCCTGGGAAAACTCATTAGGAAGCAGTCAAGTGAATTTTGAGGTATCTACGAGGCACTACAGAAAAGTGTTTGTACTTTGGTGAAGGAGAGCTAAAAGTACAAGGCTACATAGACGCAGACTTTGGAGGTGAAGTCAATTATCGAAGAAG